TATTTTCTATATATTTTTACACACACACACACACACACACATATATATATATATATAGTCTTTTCATTGAGTTTATGTATCTTGTTTGTGAAACTTGTTGTGGACTGAGTGATAGATTTCCCTTTAAATTTGTGTTTCTAAAGGTGATAATTTTATATTCATACAAATAGACATTATAATTACAATATGTACTGACCATAAGAAATATAAATTGTCGATGCTAAATAAATGAACCTAGTGAACAGAGTTTGTCTTTGATTTATTACACGTACGTATAATGGGTTGCAATGCAAAATGTGGTTCTTGTTGTGGGTTGCAGTAAAAAAATAGGTTAAAAGGTGTAGGGAACAGGTCAGTTGTGCAGCAACTCTGCGACCATACCCAGTCATGGGACTGATACTGATTTGTTGTATTAAATATTAATGTTTGTTCCAGATTTAGTCAGTCATAAAGCCTTTCTCATGTATCATGTTTTATGTTCTCCCTTAACCATATGTAATATGAAACTTAATTCATAATAACACTCACACACGTTTGCTTTATGTGCATATGTATGAGATATAAATTCTTAATTTGTGCATTATCTGTTTTGTTTTTCATGTTCATATTGTTAAATTTTAATGTTCTATTGATTATATATTTCTGGTTTTTGATGTCTAGTAATATCGATATTGGAATTTTACACACGTAGTGAAATGGTCACTAGGAAAAAAAATAAATGCATCCTATGATTATTAATCTGTAGAGTGATCTTTGCATCTGATCTCTCCTCTGATTGAACTCTAAAAGCTCAATAGAAAATAACTGGCTTGTATAGGTTGTTTTCTTTTAGTTTTTTGTTTAAGTCATTTCAGCCTGTGCAAGGCAACAGAGCCACTAAGATGCAGGTGGTTACTGAGTGTGAAAGAATATAAGAAAAACAATGTTAACCTTTATCGCACTGCATTATTCACTAATTTCCTTTCCACTGTCCATCCTGGGTATGACAATAAACTACATCAGCATCCTGGGATGATGAACTGCATCTGACAGCGGGGGCCTTTGATCAGCAGGTTTTGGGGAATGTATAGCCGCCTCTTGATTGCTGGTGCTCCTGGGTCAGTACTTGTTGGGATCCCACTTGTGGGTAAATGGTTAGCCCCTCCAAAAGGGGTCAAAACGCTGTGAAGGTGTATGTAGGAATTGCTTTTGGTACCAGCAATTTTTTTTTTTTTTTTTTTTTTGAAAAATTGTGTTACCAGCAGTACATTTTGCTGGCATTAAATAACCCATTGAGGTTGATATGCTGTAAAACAAACCAAACCAAACCTTTACACTGCACTACTTAATTTCAGTCAAAATCATTTTCTGTTGCCATAGCAGGATATGCCAACACAACAAAATCATCTCCAATTTGTTAAAGGTTAAAGAATGCTATAACAATAAAAGAACAGAATTTAAGAGGACAGAAGATAATGACTGACATTGCATTTACATTTTTGGAGACCAAAAATTGACTCGAAAGCTCAAAACCAGAAGAGAGCTTCACAAGCAAAAAGTGTGAGAAAAGAAACAGCATAGAACTTCTGGTTACATCTAGCCATTTTGACTGTAGAATGATGAGATCTTGCCGCCAGTCTAGTAATGCTCTTAAATTGCTTTCCTGTCAACTTTGATCTTCAAAAATTTAAATGCAATGTCAATTGTTATCTACTGTCTTCCTGATTACTCTTCTATTGTTCTCACTCAATTTTTGCTTGTGGAACTCTCTTCTGGCTTCTTGCTTTCCTGTCAACTTTGACCTTCAAAAATTTAAATTTAATGTCAGTTGTTTCTTTCCTGTCTTCTTTTGATTCTGCTTCTCAGTGTTGTCAATTGTAAAACTGTCCTGAAATCAACTTTGATCTTTTTTTTGTGGGTATGAAGTTTCAAGTTTGTCCAATCGTTAAAAAAAAAACCTTCATTCTACCCCACCAATATTGAAGATAGATTTTTCTTTGAAAGTGAAAGTTCTTAAACCAAAACAATCTCTTCGTTTTTCCCAAATTAAAAGTTAATGACTTGTAAATTCCATAGCTTTTTTGTTTAATTTGTTGCACAAATTAATGTAATTTGTTTAATTAATGCCTGTTTCTGTTTCTCTTATTTCACAGCAATTGTTTGTTAAATTAATTTTATTGCATGTTCTTAAAAGGCTTGTTAATCACTTTGCCATGAGTTTGTGCACACTAATATCCTTATTGTTGTTATTTTTATCATTCTTCCAGTCAATGCCTTTTTCAGCTTTTCTTAATGTCTGACATTTTTAGATACACCTTTTCCAATATTCCATAAATTATCTAGACTAATATCCCCATCCTTTCAATTTTATTACAATAGTTTATTTGGTGCATTCTCTGAACTTTTGAAATAAATATTTGTCAATATTGTAATAATTATCTTTGTATGTACAACCATTATACCATTTGCTAAGGATCAGCACCTCCCCCATTGCACTAAAGCAGGAGGGTTGGTGGATGCCAAGCCAGTGTGACAATGTTTGTGGGGGCCTAAGGCAATCAGTTTTTGTCCTTGGCCCATTAGGCAGGTCGATTTTGGAAGCATGGTATTGCACTCAATTTGAAAATTGGGGTTTGACATGATAAAGACAAAATATTTTTTTCCAAATCGTTACAGTTTTGGAGGAAACGAGCTTAAGTTTAGGTTCGAAATCCTAGCATTGGAATTTCATTCTGGTGATTAGTGCCAGCCTTATAGCACAACCTTATAAAATTTATAATTGACTGAAGTTTTACAAATTGTATATGGACAAGATGTATGGCACAAAGACATTATTACTAAATCATTGTGCCATCAAATAAGACCTTCATTTACTTCAAAGGGAAATTATAGTGAACAATTTCGCTATCTTATAATGTAATATGTTATACAGTGCAGTAGTTTTAGTGTGATTTTTTAATAAAAAATGCAAATTTAAAATATTTTGTCTTATAATTTCTGCCCAGTTGTATTATGGTGTTATGTACACTTTTATAATTTTTTTACTTACTGAATAAAGTAAAAAAAAAAAAATGCATATTTTGCTTGTAGGGATTCATAATTTGAATTCTGGTTTGAATATATTTTTCATTCAATGTATCTAATGCAAAAGGTGTCAACTTTATTTGGATTTGTTCTTGAAATAGTAAAATTTTAAAGACAGTTTGTAAGCAAAAACTCGCAGGAATTAGTCATTTCTTTACATTTTTCAGATGCTCTTTAAAACTAAATTCTAAAATAGTAAGAAGGTATGAATCTAATTTTTGGAGTCAGGACTTAGCATATCAAATCCTAGCTTTTGTACTGAGTGCAATGTTGATTTTCTAAAAAAAAAAAAAAAGTGAAAAATAAACTCTCCCTATAATGGCCTGTATGTATCTACATGCTGGGACACAATGCATTTCTCCTACCCCCAATAAAAAAAAACACCTCTGTGTCACATACTGGATCAGAGTGTAGTATCTGTCTAAACATGATTCCTTCAAAGTCGGAATTAGTTATACTTTCTGACCTAGAAACCCACATGATATCACCTGGGAGGGAACTGAGAAAAGTGAGAGAGAGTAATGGTAGGAGGTATGAATAATATAGAAAAATTGAGAAGGAAACCAGGTGAAAGGAAAAAATATACACATATAGAGTCGAGAAGGAATGGAAATGACAGAAACAATCTTTTGCTGGATGGAAATCATGAGAAACTGAACAAAAGATTGAAAGGGAGGTAAAAATTGTGAAACATTAAGATATTTATTTACACTATTCAGACTGTTGACCTCATCTTTATTGCCATATTCACAATGTTTCAGCTGTTGTATGATTCAGCCTTCTTTAGGTTATATTTCTTAATTTCGAATTGAACCCTTTATTTAGTTCATGGTGTTAGACATGGACACATGGCACAGTGAATAAAAGCATTGGTTGATTGATCCAAAAGTGACTTAACCCAAAGAGTTGTGAGTTTAATTCAGCAGAGAGAACAAAAACTTGTAGAGTTATCAAGGAGAATTAACTGAAGCTGAGATATCCAAAAAGGGCATGGCATGTGGAATTAGAACAATCTACCCTCATGGACTAAATAAAGCGTTTGGTTTGAAATTCCAAGAAATATCACCTGGAGATGGCTGGAGCATACAATGGCTGAAACGTCTGATTTCATAGTCTCTGCATGGATTATGGCTCTTTTGATGTTCTTTGAGTTTGGCTTTTAGGGAATGGCTGGTCTTGTTTTTGTATTACCTTTCGCAACTGCATGAAATGGTTAATACACAGTTCTTGATCATGTTTTCTACCAGTGGAGGTTTAGACCTGGTGTGGCCTCTGACTTTTAATCACTATAAATCCTCTGAATCTTTTTGGATGTAATGTGGTGGTGTTTTTATCTATTGGCCACCAATTTTGTAGCTCTTGTTAAAGCTGATGTTATGCTTGTGAGGTATTAGTTACTTTGAAAAGTTTTTTGTTGGTATGTGCATGGGTCATCATGAATGAGATTTACCTGATGTTGTAGGTAAGAGACTATTCATTTGTTCATATTCTATGGATGAGAGGAATTTAATATGGTGGAATAGCTTGGATTAAATCAGTGTATAAAAATAATTTCAACTATCATAGATTCAGAAATAAATCATCAGATTTTTATGGACTATACAAACCAAGATGAAGATATTAGTCAAAATAGATTAATATATAATAATGATAATCTCCAATGTCAGATATCAAGAAGTGAATTATCAGATTGTTATGGACAATATGAACCAAGTTGAGGATAGTATTCTGAATATGTTAATGTATAATAATGATGATTTCTGATGTCAGATGTTCTAAAAAAATTGAATTTTGATAAAATCTGTCTATTTTGAGAGTCTGGTGAGTAAAAACTCAGGAACCAAAGACGACTATATTGGCATGTGCATGAATAATTCTGCTCGGTGAATTCTTTGTTGGCTTGCTGAAAGACTTGTCTAATTTCTTTGTCTTTCCAGGTTAAGTGATTGTCTTTTTTGTTTGCCACTGCTGCCGTGATTTGGTCAAGCAATGGCCTTGCCCACTCTATCCACTCGATTTTGGTCAGTAGGCAGAGATTTTCAGCAGAAGGCCCGCCTTCAGCGTCGTTGCTGGGAGGAGAATTTCCGGCGGCAGTGGGATGATACAAGTAACTTTTTCCAAAGAGAAGACATGAAGGCAAAGAAAATCCAGAAGTGGACATCAGATGATTTCTACCGACGTAGGTCAGTAGGGCAGGTTTTTAAAGGAAGTGAGGGGGGGATAGAGAAGACATGAGTGAATATCTGCCAACTCACTCATGTCTTCTCTCTCCCCACTCACTTCCTCACTTCATTAATTTATATATGTTTAATACGGCTCGTCAAAAATATGTAAATTTTCTTTTCATTTTTTGTTTGGAAGTAAAGTCTGATGATCCGGAGTCCTTTAAAAGGGCTGTGGTGAAATAATTTATTACATGGAACCTTAAAGTGGTCTGTTTTTATTTAAATTATTTGCTCTGGATTTACATTGTGCTCTCTGCATTTTATCCTCCTTAGGTTTACCCATACAGATTACCTAGTTTTTCATAAAATATATATATATATATATATATATATATATATATATATATATGAGATAACAATATACCGGGTATAACAGCAAAACTATCCAAATCGTGTAACAGTGCAAAATTGTCCAATGGTTGATTAGATTAAGCTCTGAACTGTTGTATCTTAGAAATGATTAAAGATATCTTACTGGAATTCTCTGAGGTTTTTATCACACTATTGGATTCTACTTTGAGCATTAAGAACATATAATTACACTCCAAGCTTAACCGAAGAATTGCGATCATAAATGAAAATGACGTGTTCATCGTTAATTAATCATAGCTAAGGATTCATAGCTCATGAAGGATTGAAATAAATTTGAAATATATATATATTATTCCAGAATCATTTTCCAACTTATTCAAAATGATCTTTGCCCTCTCCAACCTAACTTTCTGTCCTGGAGTAAAAAGATGCTTCACAGGTTTCACATACAATTTCATTTTCAAGTCATTTTTCACTGCTTTTTGGACTGTCATAGCTGAAACTCCTCACATGCCAAACATTTTATGAATTGAGTTTGATTTTTTCTAATTTATCTCTTTAGCTCTAAGTTGAAATGATGATCCCTCTTCCTGTTGTGACCTGATCCAGTTTTCCTCTTTAGTGTTCCCTCTTTTTTAAACTTATTCACCATTCTTGAAGATGGAAGCCAGAGTATGAATGTTGGTACCATTAAGGAAAGCCTGAATTATTTTTTTCCTCTCACCATTGCTTAGTTGGGAATACAGTGGGGCTGACACAAAATAATTTTAACCTGTTCTCTTTCTAGCTGAATAACTGAAAGGGTTTTTCAGTGATTCTTATAACAAATGGTGTCAAGATGGCTAAATGTCTTATCTGAAAACCTAGAAAAAAGAAACTCAATTTAATGTTTTTTTTTTTTTTTGTTTTTTTTTAAATATTAAACATTTTGTGGAATGGAAAATTATGCCGTAACATGATTTAGACAATTTTGATGTTACACCCAGTATATTTTTATATATCAGGAACCATCATCATAACAACAAAATAAAACCCGGAATAATCATCAGATTCTACTCAAGAGCACTTTGAATTTGCAGCCCTTAATATTTACATGAAGAGGAGAAATAAATTGAAAATACTTTCAAGTTTTTTCAGTTCTCTAATTATTTTATATTCAGTGTGAAACAAAAGGCTTTTGTTTATTCCAAAATAGAAAAACAGCCCCTGCTGACAAACCCAGTGGCTCAAAAAAAATATATTGTCTTACCAACTGACACTGTCATATCTACAATTGAAAAGAATCTATCTAAAGTGAATATAAAATTTCTTACTACTATATCTAAAGCAATAAAGGACTTAGTCAATACTATACAAAACAATAAGCTAAAAGTTGAAGGAGGAATTTATTTCAAAGATTCTAAAAACATCCATATCTTTGAAGAAATTTGTACTTAAAGGCACTATTTGGCTTTGATCAATTGGGGAGACCCTTTGTAGCCAACTTGGTTCAAAGCACATTGAATATAATTACAGTTTTTCCTGCTAGGGAAGAGGTGTAGGTTCAAATCTAGCCAGGGTTGCATCTTTTCGTTAATAAGATCTTTCTAGTATTCAAGATAGTAAATGAAAATAAATATACTGTTTAATAAATAAATGGAGTGTCTACTTGAATATGGGTATCCATCAAAAATAAAGTTTAAGTGATAAAATTTGTTGGATTAATAAATAAAAGATCCATAACTTCTTAAAAATGAAATAAATATATATATATATATATATATTATATTAGAAATAAATATATATATATATATATATATATATATACACACACACACACTGTATATACTTGTGTAATCTTCCGACCCCCAAATTTTCAGTTAAAAAAAATTAATTTATCATGTATCTTGTGTATCATGTGAGTTCTTTTTTTGAGAGACCAAACTACAATAGACTAACCTCTTTTCCTCTATCTCTTTATTCCCTCTTCTTGTAAAACAAGTTAAAAAAGTAAAAGAGAATGATAAAAGTTCCATTAGTAATGCTATACTCATTGCGTAAACATGTACAGCCATAAACAATCGAACAAGAAACAGTTAAACGTCTTATAAACATAAACAATGGAAAAGATGCATATTCGCTACGTTTGTATATTATAAGACGATACTAATATGTGAATATTACATGCATTATTATTGGATACAGTTAAGTAAAACATCAGTTTTAGCAAAATCACATTTATTTTAAATGCAGATGTACTTTTTGACTACAGTAAATGGATATATATTTTGGCCAAAGGCATAGCCAGGGCCAGCAGTACATAATGCTAATTTTATATCTCATGTATGATGTGACCCTCTTAAAATTAGCTTCAAAATGAGGTCTTCAAAAACGCATGATGAGTATATATATATATATATATATATATATATATATATATATATATATATAACAAACCAACCTATAAGAATATTTTTTGAAGTTACTTAAATCTTGTCTGGATTATAGGAATGGATAGCATATACAGTGATCAAGAAATGAGGGATGAGTTTAATACTAAATTAAAATACAAAACTGATCCCTCACTTTTTATCATCCTTTCATTTGATTACTGATAAAGATGTTTTGGAATTTCATCTATGAATCTACTGTGGCCAAGAAATGGGGGATTTATTTAATAGTAATGAACAATATAAAACTTATCCCCTACTTTTTACCATCCCTTCTTTTTATTATCTCTAAGGAAGTTTACCATATATAATCGCGTATCATGCAACTTTTGAAGACCTAATTTTGAAACTAATTTGACTAGAGTAAATGGAGATATAGTTTGGTCAATGGCATAGCCAGGATCAGCAGTACATAATGCTAATTTTATATCTCATGTATGATGCAACCCCCTTAAAATTAGCTTCAAAATTAGGTCTTCAAAAGTTATTAATAAAAAGTTTAAGAAAAAGCTAACACTCGGTAACATTAACTATGAACACGGCCACAATGTGCTGTCTGTGTTTGGGAAATAAAACATTTCTATAAGTCTTTATAGTATAAACAATCCATAGATTTAGTTAATAGTAAAAATAAAATCATTGTTGATAATGGCTAAAAGTATATCTAAAAGTGCTTGGACATACAAAACTTTTCAACAATTTCTATATAATTTATGTCCAGAAAAGAAGAAAATTATAAGAACAAAATAAAAATTAAATAAAAAACTTAACTGCAGTATCAGTCGTTTTTAATGAAACTTGTATAAAAGAGGGATTGCTGCCCAAATATTGAATTATTATGATGAAAAAAAGGATACTTTGTTACTTAGCTTTTGCTGTATTTGTGACTTGCAGTTTCATATGCTCTCAAAATTTTAGACAGTCTCACAATCCTCAAATGTTGGAAAGTGATAGTATTTTCCAGAAATAAATTACTATTCAGTCGTGTATTCTATGTATAGAGGAAGAGGGGGAGCAGGTCACAGGTAGTGGAATAAGTGGTTGCTTTCTCCAACAACATGCTACTCAAGTAGCCTGGATGTACATAACCAGGAGGAGCAGCAGTGGAATAAAAGTATAAATTACATCTACTATGCTTACCGCCAAATGCCTGCACACTCAATAGTAGCATCTAGTTTACCCACTTCTTTAATTTTCCCATCGTAAGTAGACAAGATCATCTCATTTTTATGCCTTTCATTGCAAATACTCATTCATGTTTGTAGTATCTCTTTTTCCATTCTACTTCTGCAGCCTCAATATAAACCTTTTTGTTGTTACTACTATTGATTATGGACCTATATACTACATTTTTGGTTAAACATTTACCCTATAGTAGACACTTTTCCTTAATTTAGCAGTTGCACATCTAAACATTAGTGGCCATATTGCTATTGCTTTCTATTTTGACTGCTATCCATTTTAGCTGTTACCTGAGCAACTGTAACTGACTTTTATATTGTTTTTGTTGAATAATTTATTTAGCAGTTTGTTGCCTGCCAAGTGCTTGCTTATTAGTTTCAGAAACATTTTGACAACATTGGTTTTTATGGCACTTTTAAAAGGGGGATTGAGCCATAAACTTTCCTGTTACATTTTTTAAAAATTATTTTTATTATCTTTCACTATGTGAGGGCTTAGACTGCTATAGCGGCTATTTCCTGTTAAATCCTGTTGATAAATTGTCTTGGCTTCATTGAACACCTTTTCATTGGCAGAGTCAGTTGATAACTGCTCTTGCATCGATCTATATGTGCTGTGGTCGTAGCTGGAAATTGTTGGATTCTTTATGTATGTACATAGTTTTGCTCACATTTTTACTGTATGTTTGATATACACTGTTGTTTAGATTCAACAAAATATTGAGAAAGTTGACATTTTTAGTACACTAGAATCTTTTTGCAGCATACTGACGTGTTGAAATCCTTACAATATTTATGAAAGACATGACTTCAGAATTGGAAACGAGTGTGAACGTGTCTTGCCTGCAAAGTGATGATAAAAAGAAATATGGCCGCTATTGAAGACGCAATTTATGCACGCCTATCTTGTCCAAAACGAGATGATATTTACACACATGCAAAATTTTGGCTGTAGCATTAAAAAGCGGGGTGTCAGCAACATGGGTGAATCAAAGTCATTCAGCGGACAGCATGCAATAGAGTTGGACTTACGGAT